TTTTTTGTAATCAGGCTCTCAAAAAGTATATAACAATTTGGATATAGATTTATCGGCCAACATATCGGTTATCGGCTTTCAAAAATAAAGAATAATCGGTTATCGGTATCGGCCAAAATTTTCATATCGGTGCATCCCTAGTGATTCTACACATGATTGAGTTTACAAGTCACTTTTAGGAGGAGCTGATCCTTTTTCCAACTCTGTGATTGTGTTTTTTTTTCTCTGACATGCTGGTGTTATATCTTTCACTTTGATGTAATAAGTTGCACTCTGTAAATACAGCTGGATAAAACCAAAACTGTGTCCGTCTTCATTTCAGGCTGCAAAGCAACAAAATGTGATTATTTTAAAGGGGCTGATCCTTTTTCCAACTCTGTGATTGTGTTTTTTTTTCTCTGACATGCTGGTGTTATATCTTTCACTTTGATGTAATAAGTTGCACTCTGTAAATACAGCTGGATAAAACCAAAACTGTGTCCGTCTTCATTTCAGGCTGCAAAGCAACAAAATGTGATTATTTTAAAGGGGGTGATTCTTTTCTCCACCCACTTTATGTGCATATGTTCACAGTAAATGCTGCTTTTCACAAACTCAATCTCTGTATGTGCTGCAAGTCATTTAACATGCATTTTGTGAACGCAGTGCACATTTAGTTCACTTTATTTGCACATTCCCATAATTCCCAACATTTCTGTGGATAAAAGGTGACAATTTCACCAGCATTCTGACAAAAAAAATCAATAAAATAAAATAAAGGATTTGAAAGTCAAGAATTGAAGACAAAAATACTGGTAACTTGTAGAGTAAAATAAATGTTTTTATAATTATCATTTTGTTTATTTTACAGTGCAACTAATATTTATGTACAGTAATATTTGTCTTCATTTTTATATTGGGAGTTAAAACTAACAATAAAGACCAAAGAAGATTAAAAAGATATTTTTATATACAAATATGTCATTGACAACTAACCAATGTCACCGAATATTTACTTTATTTCAGCTTTATTTCAATGCCCAAAAACAATTTTTAATAGTTTTAGCTTTAGTTAACAATAACACTGGTAAAAACATAATTAAATGTAATTGAAGAAGTCAGTGTAGAATGTTATACTGATTAATATTAATGGAAGTAATGCACTCTCATAAAATCCAGCTCTGAAGTGAAAAAGTCTTACCCATCATCTCCACCTGTAACCATGTGCTCTTCATTGATCAGCTGGATACAATCAATGGAGCCCCTTCAGACAGACAGAAGACATGGACAGAAACATACAGAGAAGCAAAGATAATTCATCTTTAAAGTTAAAACACAAGTCTTATCCAGGCCCAAACCCCGATCTACTGCTTTAATTGGAGAAATTTTGAGGTCATGACTACAAACTCAAAGTCACTCGTGCCCATGAAAGACGAGCTGTGATTCTTCAGCTACTTTCCACACTCGGATTGTTCTGTCTCGTCCTCCTGCAGTCACGCATCTCTCTCTGCTCAAACAGTCCAACCCAGTGATCATGTCCTGATGGCCGAACCTGACGACAGACACGAATAAACACAAAAAGGAAGCCTGAGAATAAAGAGCGAGGACAATTCTCCCGTTTATAATACTACCCACAGCAGCTGGTGGACCTACAGGGTTTCTACATAAGCGTTCTCGTCCACGCTCCACACTTTTATTGAGCGGTCGTGTGACGCACTGTAGAGGGTATGAGTCCCTCGTCTAAAGGCCAGACCCTGCAGAGGAAGCATTCAAGCAGAGGCATTTAGACAAACTCAGTCAAATGGGAGCAAACATTTCATAAACGATCATCATCTAAAGTCACAATATTATATATAAGTGATGTTCTACTCACCGATACAGCGTCTCTGTGTCCTTTCAACTTGTACAGATGTTTACATGTCACGGGATCCCAGATCATGATGAGTTTATTCATGTCCCCACTAGCCTAGAAAACAAATCAAATCATATCTATTAAATTGCATCCAACTTTCTCTTTTCAATTAGTTGACTAAAACTGTAACGCATAAAACAGATCAAGGCAGTTCCAGGTATTATGGAGTAAAATAAGTAAAATCACTCTAAAACCACCCATAAATATAAAATTCAAAAAGATAAAAAATTTGGGGTTGGTCATTTTTTTTTCATGTTTATTTTATGTTTTTGCTCACCAAGGCTGAATTTATGTAATCAAAAATACAGTAAAAACTGCACTAATGTGTAATAACTTTTACCTCTTTAACATTTTCTTTTTGAATATATTTTAAAATGTAATTTATTCCTGTGATGACACAGCTGAATTTTCATCTGATCCTTCAGAAATCATTCTAATATGCTGATTTGCTATTCAAGAAATATGTCATATAATTATCATCAAAGTTAAAAACAATTTTGCTGCTTTTCAGGATTCTTTGATAAATAGAAAGTTCAAAAGAACAGCATTTATTTGAAATAGAAATCGTCTGTAACATTAAAAAATGTCTTTACTGTTACTTATTATCAATTTAATGTGTCCTTGCTCACTAAAAGTACTAATTGCTTTATTAATTACTTACAATAAACAGTACAGGACTTAGATGCCTTATGCCTTCGTTGTACTATGAAAACATAATGGAATTAAAAAATTCCTAAACATTTATTGTAATTATCAATCATATTATTAAAATTAATTTCATTCAATTGATAACTTGGGCATGAATATATTAGGGCATGGCCTCAAAATACAGCCCGTTTAATTCCAAGGCTCAAATTATGGACCAAAGAAAAATGTATTGATAAAAAATTTGACCCAATGAATTCCAGCTCTCACCAGGTATTTCCCATCAGATGATATGGCCATACACAGAATGTGAGCAGTGTGTCCCACATGACGCGCCTCTGTTCCCTTCCGTCCTCCTGCGATCTTGTGCACCTTCTTTCCACCCTCCACCTCCCCTGCAGATCATAATCATCATTCATTCAGAAGCAGATTGGCTCAAGTTTATACTAGAGCCCGACCGATATGGGTTCTTTGGGGCTGAGACCGATACCGATATTAGGGAGTAAACAAAGGCCGATATCAATATATCGGCCGATATTCTCTGTGTATATTATTGTACACTTTCCCATTCGTGTGTCCAAACATTTGACTGATACTATATATAGAATACAGTATATACATAAACAGAATATATATACATAAACACATTTTTTGCAATGATCACTCAAATGTGGTGATCAAACACTTATAATGATGTGACAGATACGTAATGGAGGCAGGGCATTTAACAATTTAACAAACTTTATTATCCAAAATGAGTCTGACATCAGTGCACTGAAAAGTAAAGTTGAAGTTTATTCAACTTTATTCCATTGAAGTTTATTTCACTTCGGAACATT